CTGCAAAAATATGACCACTACTTGTAGTTTTGTAAATTTTCTGCAGAACTTTAAAGATCATGAGAGAAAGCCTTGGGAAACAGATTACATTGAAGATATCAACACTGTGCTACTGGCAGTTATCTCCCTTCTCAGACAGCTGTTCCTTTTGTCGTATATGCTGAAGGTAAATTCATTAAATACAAATGTAAATAATTTTATAATGTTATGTAAATTTCACCTTCATGTGTACTTACATTTAAGCTTGGATTCTTTGTCACCTTTTACACTGAACTGTGAAACTCCTTCTATGAATTCTAACAACAATGAAAAAAAAACACTCAAGTAAATAATAAAATAAATGTTATAACTTTAAACAAACAGTACATGACAAATAATGATCTTTCACTAATCTGGTTCACTAACACTCAAGATCAATCATTCTTAACTATGGTTAAATTTTGTTAATAAAACATTTGGAAAAACATTCCTGTCAAAACGCGTCACATTTGCCATGGAAACATCAAGTTATAAATACAGTGGCATGTCTCATCAATGAAATAATTTCCAGATAAATTTCAGAATGATATGTTTTCACAGTTTGATAGCAATTACTTCAAAAAAGTTAATAAAGTTCTGCTCCCCCTGGTCTGAATAGGGTTATTTATTACAACAATTTCTATCTTCTTTCCCCTAAGAGAACAATCATTAGATCTTAAACATGCCCTGTTACTGACACCTGAAAAATTACCCTTCTGAGCCATGTAAACAGCTGAAACCCGCTATCTCGAACTTTTAAGGGAAATGAAAAATAGTTCAAGATGTCAGGGTTTGAGATAGCTGACAGTTAGTCACAAATGAAAAAGTATATCCGAGAGAAATTGAATTGAGTTCAAGAAAGCAGGGAATTTGCTCAGATAACCGAGTTTGAGATAATGAGGCTCTAGCACATGTACAGTGAGGGATGTCACAAGTAGATGGCTCCCAGTGCAAAAAGTGTGTTCTTCATGATTTTGGCTGGCTACCCTGCTGTGTAATACTTCTGATTCTTTCGACAAGAATAAAAATACAGCCTGCTACTTCAACAAAAGCTGACTTGTTGTTTACGGTATAAACATGTCTTGACAAGCCTGCTAGGGTGGCAAGAAATTTACAGTGTAAAGATTTGTACCACATACATAAAATTAAGGGAAGTTGTACATGATATAGTGGGATACATTTAAATCTCATTTATACTCTCTTCTTCAAAAGAGAGAGGTTCTCATTTTTACATCATAAATTGATGAACGGCATAATATTCATGGTAGCAAATTAAGATGTTTTTGTTTACAATGTACACAATGTAGGTCTGGAATATTGCCTCAAGGTTGGTTTTCACTAGGCATAACCATAAGCATAAATAACATAGGCAGATGCAGTGGTGTGCTGCTAAGAAGCACCTTTTGTTAGGAAATTTTTCTAACATACATGTATGTCACCACCTAGCAGCACCTCACTGCGTCTACATATGTTGGCTCATGCTTATGCACTACTGAAAACCACAATGAGCGACAAAAGTGCTGACAGAGACAATTTGCAGTAAAATTATATTGAACATTTACCCCCTCTCCCCTTACCCCTAAATAATGACGATATTTCTCTTTCTAGTACTGCACAGACCACATCATTTACAAAACATTGAACTGGGGGGTTGAGGGTAGCTAGATGCACATGAAATAGAATGAGAAGTTAAAAATGGCAAAGTGTAATTTTCTAAAAGTGTCTTAAAGTAACTACTTAATTGTCACCCATTGCAGCCTTGATGAGAAAAGCAACACCACAAAAATTTAGAGTCAAAGTATCTCAGATAAAGAACTTTGTTCTTTGTAATTGTACATATAACATATAAGGAAATTGTAATAATAAATACAATGCAGCTGACTATCATTTTGACCATCTGAAATTTCCTCGATGGCTAAGAGCTGAATTACATGTATTTTCACATCAGATATCATTCATGATCGTAAAAGAAGACTGCAACTCAATCATAAAACATTTTGCCTCTTTTAATCCCCAAATGTTGTGGTCAATTTAGACCAAGAGGGAGTTAATTAATGAGTTGTGTTCATAGATAAGCCATTTATTGCCCAGCCTTGTCTTGTCATTGAACTCAAATTGCATTAGTTCGTGAGCATGGCATGACTAGACTGCCCAACAAAGATACAATAACGATGAGCCAACAGCAACTTCAGTTTAAGCTGGGAAATCAAATCAACTTCCAGCAAATAATCTAAACACAGTGGTAGGCCTTTGTAATCAAGTCATGCTGAAAACATGGAAAGATCAATCTTGTACATAATTTATACACCAATGAAAGAAATTCATTACTAAGATCGGTTATAACAGATTCTTTGAGTATATTGTATTTTTTTTTTTTCAAGCTACATGTACACTGAAACATTTTTATCACTTACTAGGTAAGGTGTTGACTTACATACATGTACAAACTTGTAGTGCGCATATTTTACAGTACACTAGAGAATTCTAAACACAATATTTGCATGAAGTGTGTTTTTTTTTTTTTCTAATTTTGACTTTTATTTGTAGCTTCTTTCAATTAGAAGTGTCCGAGTGCCACCACATGCCCCAGACGTGAAAATTAAAAATTAAAACACATCCTGACTCCTTTGATTTCACTTTACAAACAAAATATTCCAGTGCTTTCAAGCCATTTCGTTCCTTATAATACTGTTACTGCTCCAACATTCTGGACAGATGGTCACTATAGATGCTACTTTTAAAGCAGCAAATTCAATTCAAAAACCTCAGAAACAAACCAGAAGATACTAATAAGTAACATGGTTATGACCACAGTGAGAAGTCAATCAAAACTGACCAATGACCAGCACGGGTGGAAACAAGCATTTTGGTTTTAAGTGTGAAATTGTGCACAATTATTGCTTGGTCTACATGTCATGTTTGACCACAGCTGTGAATTATTCATAACAAAGGTGAGATTTGGTTTATTTGT